TTGGCAGCTTGAAACTCACGCTGGGCTCATGTGCATGTGTGCCTAAGACCCCGGGATGAGAATGGAGGAGAAGGAATTGTGGCGTGGCCATTCACCTGTGAGGTGATTTCTCACTTTCTGTCTCTCTCGTGCCCTTGTCTCTGGACAGTGCATGTACCGTCAGGCAAAAACCTCTCAGAAGAAAAAAAAATCAGAATCAGGAAGGAGTTTTACACAGAAATACTTTGAACTAACCACCCAAGTGAATTTAACTTTTATTAATTAATTACTTAAAATTGGTGTTTGGTATCCAATCACAGGTTTACTTAATTTTATATCCAGTTCTCTATCTTTCATTATTACCTCTCTTCTTAAAAAGAAATACGGTTTAAATTTCTAGATTTTCATCTTTCAAGAACAATGACAGTTAAGGATTTAAAAAAAGGGCAAGGAGGGACCAGCTGATGGCACATCGCTGGAGTCCCATGTAGCTGACCACAGTTCGAGTCCCAGACCCAGCGACTTAAAACTCATGCCTGGAGCATGTGTGAGTGCCCAAAATGCCGAGAGGAGAATAGAGAGGAAGGGATTGCGGCATGGCCATCACCCCTGGTGGGTGATTTCTTGCTTTTTGTCTCTCTATCTCTCTGGTGAGCACATGTATCCTAGAGCAAAAATCTCTCCAAAAAAAAAAAGAAAAAAGGAAAGGAAATGCCATGCCACGGTGCTGTGTACTAAGACGCGGGCTCCACACACTGGCACCACATGGGAGGTCCCAGTTTGCTGCCTGTTGTAAAAGCCAGACATGGTGGCCTGTGCCTGTGATCCCAGCAATGCAGGAAGTGAAGCCGAGAAGATCTTGAGCTCTAGGCTGGCCGGGGCAACACAGTGAGACTGGTGGAACCAGCAGATGACATAATGATCACATCACTCAACTCCCGTATAGTTGACCATGGTTCCAGTCCCAGACATGGTGGCTTAAACTCAACTGGGTGTGTGTGCATATGTGCCCAAAATCCCAAGAGGAGAACGGAAAAGGGATTGCAGTGTGACCATTCTCCCGGGGGGGAGGGGGTGATTTCTTGCTGTTTCTCTGGCAAGCACATGGACCCTATCAAAAATTTCTCTCTTAAAAAAAAACAACAACTCAGATGTGGGAAAAAACGTGTTTGGGAAATGCTATAAAAAGATGATTGGTTCCTAGTCTGTAGGCAAGATGGCTTAATGACTCAGACCAAGATAAAGTAGTTGGTAGCAAGAGTGAGAGAAGAGCAGCAGTGAGTAAGAGCTCTAGCTAGACACACTGGGTTAAATTCAGTTTAGCAACTTCTTAGCTTAAGGCACAGTTGTCTATAGAATAGTGGTAAAAATAACAGTACAGATAGAAAAATGCCTACCACTGAGATTATGTGCACAGTAAAGTTCCATTTAGAACATAGAAACTGTTATTACCTAGAAATTCTTTTCTATGGCAATTCTTGAGTAATGCAAAGTGGTAACCTATTCTCAAGAATTTTCTGAGCTTACCGGGGAGACAGTGCTATGGTTTGAATGTGTCCCCTTAAAATTTGTGTGTTAAAATTTGATGAGTTATTACAATGGAATTAGGAAGGTGGAAACTTAATAGGACTACAAGGTTAAAAGGTGGAGCATTTAACAAGTGGTTAGGCACCAGGGTGGGGCCCCATGATTGAGTCCTGGTGGGTTTATAAGGAGAGGCAATGAGACAGAAATTCTGTGCTCTGTTCAAGCTGCTGCCCTCTACTAAGGTATCTGCCAGCAAGAACACCGCCCCTGTACCTGGGACCTCCAAACTGGGAGCTAAATAAGTCTAGTAATTCTCATATGACAGATGAAGAAAGTGAGGTATCTACCTCAGACTCACTCAGGTAATTTTGCTATTAGCAACAGAACAGACTAGAACAGACAGCAAAATAATGCTAAAGAAAATGACCTCTTTGGGGCCGGCAGGTGGTGGGGCCCCATAGGCACTGGATTCCCACATGATTGACTGTGGTTCAAGTCCTGGGCCTGGTGACTTGCTTTGTCCCTTTCCCTTTCTCTCTCTCTCTGCCTCTCTCTCTGGTCAAATGAAAGAACTAATAATAACATGGAATTAAATAAATAATTCTTAAAAAAAAAAGATGACATCTTTGGGGTTCTTTTTCATATATTGGCAATATTGGAAATTTCTTAATGTGTCAAATTAGAGGGACTCATTCTTTATTACACAAAGTTCTTTCTATTCAATCCATTCATACATTATTGTATGCCTACCATGTTCCATGTCCCCAGTGAGGTCTTTTACTATATCTTAAAAGTAAAGTATTACAAGTCTCTAATAGGATGACAGTATTTGCTTTAAGAGAGGCAAAATTAAACAATATATTTTTAGATTTGAAGGGGCCAGCCAGTGGTATAGTGGTTAAAGTACCTGGATTTTGCATGGTGTACTGTGTTGTTTGAATCCTGGACCCAGCGGGTTGGAAAACATGCTAGGCATGTGTGTGTGCATGCCCAAAATCACAAGAAGAGAATGAAGAAAGGACTGTGGTGTGGACATCCTCCCTGGGGGATGCTTTTTCACATTCCCTCTTCTCTCTTTCTCCAGCAAGCACACATGCCCTCTAACAAATTAAAAAAAAAAAAAATCAGGCCAACTTCTGGCATAGTACTAAGATATTGCTCAAGAGAAGCTGGATCCCATGTGGTGACTGTTTCAGGTCCCAAGCCTGATCCACCTGAAGCATGCTGGACATGCGTGCTTGAGTATCCAATATCTGATGTGCTAGAGGACTAGAGAAAGGGATTGTGGCATGACCAGATCAAGTAAAGGGTGCTCATCTCTCTCTCTCTCT